ACGAGCGAGCACTGGCCCATCCTCTATCTGGTGTTCACGAGGTGCTTGTTGCACTGGAAACGGAGCAGCTCAAGTTTGTATCCCTGGTGATGTTTGGGCCTGGAGGGCACTATAAAAGTGGTGGCCTTCAGGCACAATCTTCTTCAGCCTACTCAAGCTCAGCTAAAGAGTGAATTCCCGAAACACTGTGCATTGAGCGGAGAGTGGTGTTTTCTTGCAGGCTTGCTGAGTCACGTGTGCTCTGGATGGCAGTTGTGTCAAGTCAAGAAGGCGGAGTCTGTCCTATTTCCTGTACTTTGCACAGTTGTAGACGCGGGAATTTTAAAATTCATTTTTTTAATTCGTTGCGCAGGCCAGAACACGAAGATTTTTTTGATTTTGCACATGTGCAGGCATGTAATATGTCGTTAAAAAAATCGTCGAGCATTATCGCGGTACCGCGAATGTCGAGTGTTAGTGAAACTGTGCTGCTCCGCTGCAAGCCACAGCTTTGGGACTTGCCGCGGATCAGCGGAGCCGCAGTGGAACCCGGCCCTTAGTGCGTAGGTATGTGAGGTGAGGGTTGGCTGCGTATGCATAATATTATATCGTGCGCCAGCATAGCCAGAGCACTGAGCACACATTCTCTTGTATTGTGATAGTGTCAAGGAACAAAAAATGCTGTGCGGACACACTCCCAGCCATTCAAACACCTGCGAGTGGACGCAAAGCTCCCCACCACCCCCACCCCACCCGATAGGATGGACAGAAAAATGTGTTTGTGAACAGTCAGGACTGACGCTTCGTCTGAACACCATTTGGTTTCATCATCAATCCGGAACACTGGCAAAAAATACACCCAGGTAGCATGTTCGACTAAAAGAACCCCCAAAGGATCTTAGTGGAAAGAAATGGTCGTTCCGCAATCCAAAAAAAGATGGACCATATCAAAATTGTATCAAAATTGTATCATTCTGAAAGTTGAGGACAGCCCCCATTGCTTTGCGAAATTGATTGTTCAGCACTGAGAATGAAAAATAAAAGAAAAAATCATACCGTTCTTGGTTGCTTTGAGTTTGGCGGCGAGCAAACGCCATTCTGGACAGGCTCTGTAGTGAACGGGGTGAATTTCTTGATCCTTGGTGTTCCGCCGAGACACTGGTAAACAACAAAATCACTTCATCAAACTACATGGTAACTAACTTTGGACAACAAATCAAAAACTCTTGCGTCGGCACACCCAACCAAGCTTGTTTGAAAACAGGAGTCAGGAGCGTCCAGTTGACATGGTTGAAATCGGAGTTTTCTTCGGCTAGGCTTTCAAGACGCGTCGACGTCATAATGAATCTCACATATCGATCAATCACGTCACATTCACTGGACACGTACTCAAATCAAAGCATGACGTCAAAGTTGTGAAAATAATTGCCGCGCCGGCGCCGCTGCGACCGCGTTCTGCATCGCGCTGCACTAGCTCCAGCGCTAGCGGCAGACTCGATCGGGATGCATCGATGTGGATCCGTCACATCATGCACTCGCTGCATATCATATGCACTTCGTGACTGGGTGCGTTGCACTCGGTAGCGCTAGGAAACTAGCGCGATTTGCTGCTTGGCAGATATGAAAACGCGATGAAGAGCACAACAAGACTTGAAAGACATCGAAAAGGCCTTTGGCTTTGATTCGTTTTGAACATCGCGCATGCGTCACCAGTTCTGTCGAGTTCTGACGAGGACGAAATGGCGTTGGTCGGTCGCCTTGTGAGGCCAAGTGTCCTCCGATGTGGGGCTCGAAATGCCTACATATACACTGAGAAGGATTGCTTTGGGTGCATTGGAGGCCCTCTTGGAAACCCAGCTCCTGTAAATAGTGAGAACCCGATTTACAGGAATACTGAGATCGATGCCTTGACTGAGAAAGCCAAGGGCGATTGGAAGAAAATGTCTCCTGAGGAGATCAGAAAATGTAAGGCATTCCTGCCGGAGTAGCTGTATTAGTGGCCAGAACTCCATGGTATGTTCTGTGTTCTACTGTGCTTCAGTGTACAAGATGCACTTTCTGGAGACAGTTGCCGATTCCACTGCCAACACTGGAGAAATTTGGAGAGTTGTGGGACAGTCGCTGGTTTGCTGCGCTATCTCCCTGGTCTTGTTCATGCTCTATGAGCGTAATGGTATGTCACTGGAGCTGTGCATCTGCCTTTAGTGGTATTATACTGGTCCTGGTAGTGGATGTACACTAACCTGATAGCGGAAGGCAATAATTTTTTAGGGAATTGAATCTTGAGTAAAAATCAGTAAAAATACAAAATAAGTACCGTATATTCTCTATTATAAGCGCCGTGCGTATATTTTTTCAACGCCCTTCTACCCCGTGCTTATATTGGAGACCGCGCTTACCGTAATGTCGCGTGCATAAGCCGGATTTGTGCATAAGCCTGTCTCGTGTAGAAGCATGAAATCTGCAACAGCTTTTCGCGTACAAGCCTGTCGCATGCATAAGCCGGGCCAGTACACGAGACGCGCCACGTGTCGCGTGCGTAAGCCGGGCTACTACGCAAGACTGGTGAGCGCGCCTTTTACATGTTCATGTTTGCATGGTACCGTACACTTGCGAAAAAAAAGAAAAAAAATCCCGTTGGAAAATGTTGGTTTTGACGTCCAAAAGTCAGCAGTTTGCGCATACAAGCCTGGTCATTGAGTGGTGCTTGTCATATAAGCCTGTCTCGTGTATAAGCCTGTCTTGTGTACAAGCCTGACTCCATCACCGGCTTATAGGCATATAAGCCCCGGCTAATGCACGCGACATTACGGTATATTGGAGACTGCGCTTATATTTTTTTTCAACCAATACAATCCATACAGAGCAAGAAGAAATACATGCTAGATATCATGCATGCAGCATTGATTTCCACCAAGACTGTGCTTATAATGTTTCGAAAGGTGCTCACAGTGTGCTAGTATTAGAGACTGTGCTAGTAATGGAGACCTGTGCTTATAATAGAGAATATACAGTACTTAGAATAGTCATGCATCTACATGTGTACGCTATCCACACTAGTCTAGAACTACAAATCGAAGATTTTCTGAACCAAACGTTTTCGTTCCCATCTCATACAGGGAATAAAGCGAAATGACTAAACAGCAATTATATACCGTAAAATCGCTTACACGACTCTGGGGAAATTTCTCAGGCTTCTATACAAGACAGGCGTGTGTGTGAGTTGTTGTACCCGTATTCTGGCTGGTCGAATACCGGTATCCCCAGCATCACAGCCATTTCAGGACAATCGGGTTTGTTTACTGATCTTTTTCTACACGTTTCTTCTGTTGATATCTGATCTATGTCATGAGTTCACATGCACATCCGGCTTATACATGCAACAGTGGCTGTAGTGTAGCCTGTACGAACTAGGAGTGAGTGTAGTGTCGCATATTTGATGCATCGGCTACTATACAAGAGCGGCTTATGTGTAATTTGATGCTTCCGAAAGTGCGGCTTTTATACAAGACGTTACGGTAGGCGAAAATAATTGAAGGACATAAAACATCACGCGACAAGTGAATGTGAAAGGTTTTGTACGACCAGTGCACACAGCGGGTCCAATACAGCATGAAGATAAAAAATAGCACTAACACGGTGATTAACGCCAAACACCTGAAGAGACAGCACGTATTCCTTCTGAACACGTAACTCAGGGGTTGCGCTCACTGGTTGCACTAAACCTTTCGCGCTCACTTGTAGCGTGATGTTTTATGTCCTTCAATTATGTTGCCTGTACAATAATTGCTGTTTTATAGTCATTTTGCTTTGTTCCTTGTATGAGCCCGTGATGAGAAGGGAACGAAAACGTTTGGTTCAGAAAATCTTCGATCTGTTCAAGACTGGTGTGGACAGCGTATAGATGCATGACTATTGTAAAAAGAATTGGAATTCCAATTTGTTCTTAAAAATTAGTGTTGAAACGAGCGTATCTATAACAAACGAGCAATCAGTTCCATTAACGAGCAAGCTAAGGGGCCGTCCGGGGTTACCGATAGTTTTTGCAAAACGAAAAGTTATAGTATTTTTCAGCACCCGCCCACCTACCTTTTCTGCAGGTAAAACGAATTCCAATAAAATATTGATGTCAATTTTCGACACCCAGAAGTAACTGGGCATTCTCCATCTGCATTATTATTTTCAAAACGAAACTCCTTCGAACCCACCCCCAAACGAAAACTTTTCGTTTTGAAAATACTATTGGTAACCTTGGACGGCCCCTAACGAGTTTCATTGATGTGGCAAATGTGATTTTTTAAATATTTTTCCAAGTTCGATTTTTTCAGCTGCTTCAAATTATCACCGCCGGCATTTGGGGTTGCTGCTGCTTCACTTCGGACTGCTGTTTGGTGTCTAGATGTCTTTTCAGCGCCGTCTTTGAGCAGCCTTTGAAAGAATAGTCCGTTTTCAAAGATTGCAAGTAGCCCTGTTCTTATCTGCATCGCGGGAGAAGCTTCCAAACGACTGAACGTAACTTTCACTCAAATGGAGAGTTTCCAGAAGCATGTCCTGCGACAGGTCAGCAGATGCGGAACAAGACATCAATGGAGTCCACCAAAACTGGCTGCAACGACAACTGAAACAACTCAGTGTCGTGCAGGTATACAGTCACTGTAACTGAGAGTGATTTTCACTTTGCGTGGGGCTGGACTCTCGATCGACCAGGGAGTCGTAAAATATTCTACGACTCCCCGGTCGACATGTACTGCCATGTGTACTGAGTATGGTGTTCGTTAGTGCAAACGAGCTGGCCGCACAAACGAGCCGAGTTTCTGGCGAGCGAGCTAACAAGTACCCAGTGAGATCGTTTCAACACTATTAAAAATAAAAATGTTTGTCACACTCGCTGACTGTATATTCTCTGGTTACGGTGGTGGACAGTAAGTCATAACTCGTACCCTTTTGTCCTCCTTTTTATCCAAAAATAATTTTTATTTACAATACATGCACACAAAAATGTACAGCGCTAGCGAAAATCGACCATGGAAGCATTTTCGCGCCTAGGATCAAGCAACCACGGACATCATGTGTGTCTGAAACCTAGCTCAGTTCGTGCGCTTCTTGAGCGACTGTTTGGATTTCACTGACAGCACTAAAACTACTTCCTCCGCGTCATCGAAATTGTCGCAGTTTGACTTTTGATATAAAACGGGGTATTTACTCACCAGCACTCGTACCAGAGGCAGGGAATGGGATATAGGCGATAGTCATCAGTATAGGGTGACGGTAAAGTTCTATTTTCTGTTATTGGAAGCTGGAATTTTTGAACTAGACGCAATTTCTTCGCTGATGTCGCTGCGATGGTAATTTCGACTCGCGGAGATCAGTGAGGCGTTGCAGCCTGCACATTTCTCGTGCTTATGGCCATTCACTGAAGCCTCATCACTGTTTTACCTTAGCTGGGGTGAGAATGACTTCGTGGAACAAGTGGCAGCGCTTGGAGAAACATCGAGGGGTCAGCAAACTAAATGCCTGCAACAGCGATAAAATTTGTCGCTCTAGCTGAGACACTCAGTACATGATTGTACCTGCAAGAGCCGTGTAGACTCTACACGTAGTGCTAGTGATGCACGCGCAGGTGCCGTACCATGGTATACCAGTGATGCTGAAAAACAGGGCGCGCTGGACGCGATAGTACACTTACCTGAGCTGCATGAGCTGTGACCAAACAGCTAAAATAAATGGGCATGCCACGGCTAAAAAAAGTTCATTTCAAGATCGAGGTGATTCCGCCGACGGTAATCAACCGACCTCGCAACGATCGTGTATTCTTACTAGGCTTCGTTGGTGGTGAAGTAGAAATCATCCAGAGCTAGCAGACGACAAGCATAGCAGCTCTTGTCCTGTGGAGAAAGTCAAAGCGTTTGAGATGAGGCGCAACCAACTTTCAACCTTCCTTGAAATATTTCGGACCGAAATTTTTGCGTCCATTGACATCAGCGACGACGAGGACTTCATCTCTGCATGAAAACTCTCAGTCCAACTGTTCTGGAACGTTACTCTAGTCTTCAGACTATCATACTGTGTAATAAGTTTTGAATGGCTTAGCTTATGGAGTTGTCAGTAACAAGTGACAAGTCACTAGTCAAACTGCGACAATTTCGATGACGCGGAGGAAGTACCCGTGTGTGGAGGTACTGTTCTGCATGTGCTGCACATCCCTACCCAGTACTACAGTCAAGTGGCGTTTGTTTATACCTACACTCAAACGTCTTTTATCCGGACGCCTTGAATATGGTCATGTCTCTTTGCCGAGCACCTTCAGCACAAGTTAGCTGAGCAAAATTGCTTCCATGTGCGTCAAAATGTGCAATTGTGAAAGGTTTCGGGAAACACCAATTTGTATCATCACCGCACATTCTCATGAGAATTTGTCCAAGTGATATGTTACATAAAGAATGAGTTAAGAGCTCTGATGGTGAGCCAAGGAAAAAAATGTGGGCACAAGTTTTGCGATCAGTACTCCTTGTAAGTTTTGTGCTAGCTTGTGCACGTCTGACTGCTCAAAATCTGGTTTAGTTGGTGAACTTGATCGCATAACTTGTGCCCGGGTTTTTCCATGTTACAAAAATGAGTTGTCCAGAGTTATGGGCGTATCTGAGATACGGGCAATGCGTGGTTTCTAGGCGCCCGGATAAGAAATGAGTGTGCTACCTCTAAATCTGCCTCGCCTTTTGTGCGTGCTTCATAATTCATCCTTCCTCCGCGTCATCGAAATTGTCGCAGTTTGACTTTTGATGTAAAACGGGGTATTTACTCACCAGCACTCGTACCACAGGTAAGGAATCGGACATAGGCGACGGTCATCATTATAGGATGACGGCAAAGTTTTCATTTCTGTTATTGGAAGCTGAAATTGCTGAACTAGACGCAATTTCTTCGCTGATGTCGCTGCGATGGTACTTTCGACTCGCTGAGATCAGTCAGGCGTTGCAGCCTGCACATTTCTCGTGCTTATAGCCATTCACTCAAAGCCTCATCACTGTTTTACCTTAGCTGGGGTGAGATTGACTTCGTGGAACAAGCGGCAGCGCTTGGAGAAATATCGAGGGGTCAGCAAACTAATTTGTCGCCCTGGCTCGAGGCACTCAGTACATGATTGTACCTGCAAGAGCCGTGTAGACTCTACATGTAGTCTCTACATGTAGTGTTCGTGATGCACGCGCAGGTGCCGTACCAGTGATGCTGGAAAAGGGTGCGCGCTGGACGTGATAGTACACTTACCTGCATGAGCTGTGACCACACAGCTTAACTAAATGGGCATGCCACGGCTAAAAAGAGTTCATTTCAAGATCGAGGTGATTCCGCCGACGGTAATCAACCGACCTCGCAACGATCGTGTATTCTTACTTCGTTGGTGGTGAAGTAGAAGTCATCCAGAGCTAGCAGACGACAAGCATAGCAGCTCTTGTCCTGTGGGGAAAGTCAAAGCGTTTGAGATGAGGCGCGACCAACTAACTTACAACCTTCATTGAAATATTTTCGGAACGATATTTTTGCGTCCATTGACATCAGTGACGACGAGGCCTTCATTTCTGGGTGAAAACTCTCAGTCCCACTGTCCTGGAACGTTACTCTAGCCTTCAGACTATCCTACTGTGTACTAATTTTTGTATGGTTTAGCTTGTGGAGTTGTCAGTAACAAGTGACAAGTCACTAGTCGAACTGCGACAATTTCGATGACGCGGAGGAAGTAAAAATGCTTTGCTTTTGGGCTGGTGCGGCTGCACTCTCGGGGCAGAATGTTGTAGTGGAGAACAGTGGCAAAACGGTCTTTTTGGCATTATCCTGCTCTCCGGCAAAAGGTGCGAAAGATAATGCCATGGGCACCAATTGGTCTATACTGCTGTAGGTGTACAATGGTCCCAAGTCAGTTCTGGGGAGTGTACAGATAAGTTTCAATGTGATCGCATTGAAATTACTTGGACTTTTGTGTGGCAGGCACAGGTAATTATGTAAAACTTACGTCGTTATGCAGGTGTTCAGATATGGGAAGTGCATGGAGAAACAGACTTTGCATACAGATTGACTATTCTAACTGTCTGGCCTAGTCAAATTACCATGCTTTGTGCTGGCGGTGGGCAGTTTAGTTCAGTTATAGCACGCATGATGGTAAACCAATGTGGTGACAGTATCAAAGCGCCCTTTGGATGAAAAGCACTGTTATGTCGGTGTGGGGCGTCCCCTTCGCATTTAGCAAAACTAGTTGCAAACATTTTTGCATTCAGGAAATGTGCTGCAGTGCCGATCGTGTTGAAAAAGTTGACTTGAGTTCGACTCATTTGACCCATCACACGACCGTCACCATACAGCATTGCGAAGCATTTCCGTGTGCGAAATGATGTATGAAACGAACGGGTTTGCCTGTGCAGCTCTGGGCTCCGGTGAGGTCTGCAAAAAGTGCAACTCATTGTGAGAACCGTCCTCAAGATATGACTGCTAAGTAAGGACCCAACATACTCTTTCCCCTATCTAAGGATATCACTCTGTATCCATCGCACTTTTCACTCGTAGCCTGGCCGTCTGACAATGTGTCCCATTTACTGGTCAGCATAGGAGTGGCACATTCTTACTGCTTTTGTGCCCATGTAAACATGCACTGGTGTCACTCTGCAACTAGTTAGTCTGGTGTTTCAATGCATACACAGAGCCACACCAGTTCAGAGAAGCGACTCGAAATTCGAAAAGAATATCGAAGACAAACCCGGCTCAATTGTCACGTTTCTGAAAATGAAGAATATGGTTTGATATTTGATCTGAACGATTGGATAACAAACGCCCCCGTTTTATGTAGTATAGGTGTGTGGCTAATGTTTTGTTATTGTGAGAGATGGTCTATGCTTCTGGTACGCAGTGTGAGTTGGGCAGCATAAAACTTGAAATGGGTATAATTTCCTCCAAGCATGAGATTGTATTACCCGAAATATGTGCTTTTGTACCCTGGGTTTAGAAGTTCTACTTGATGGTGGTCTCTGCAACACACAATTGTGACCGTGACTTGCTGGTCCCTAGCACAGCGCAGGCGCAAAACCCCACATTGTCACGTTCTACTTGCCTGTGCCGTCTCCCTGCTCTCAACTGACCTACTGCCTTACCGTATGAATTCTCCCAGTTCTCTGGACCTATCAGAATGCCGTGTAGTAAATGTCACTTTATCCGACCACTTATACCGTGAAAGCCAGAAACTAACTTGCATGGGGAAAAGAGCTACAGTCCATTTCAAAACTATAGACGCGTACCTAGGCAAAGACCGTTGTGCCAGCATCTATGATCACTTTGTGCATAAATTTTTCCAAATTGGGCGTCTGTTATCCAATCCTTTAGAAACTATATGAGAGTAATTGTGGAGCGATCCTGAGCAATATTCCGAAAACTTTTCTCAAAAAGTTCCAGCCAAATTTGAAATATTTCAAAACCCTACGCGTCTATAGTTTTGAAATGCACTGTAGAAAGGTGCTATTCAACCTACTCTGTAATATGCCCACAGCTACAGAGAATCATATCACCACCAACCTAGGTCTTATCGGATATCCGACATACTCAGATAACTGGTGGCCGGATAAGTAACATTGGCTGTGCATGTGCTGTCGTATAAAGTGTATAGAGGAACGGGGAAATAGGCTTCATCTTCAATTTTTTGGGGTGATGTTCATTGCGTCTTCACTATCATGTTTGTGTGTGTGTGTGTGAAATGTGAATACTGTAAATCAACTAATTTTCGCTGGCGATTTAGTTTCGCTGATTTCGCCACTTGGTGCGAACCGGCCAAAGTTTGTCATAGTCGAATGATGCATGATTGAACCATGGCTACATGTGAGAGCAACAACTACCGATCGATCTCTCTTTTGAAAACCCCGATCACCCAAAGTTTGAGGATGACCAAAAGTTTCATTTCGAGATCGGCCGTAATTAATTTTGTTGATTTACAGTAGAGGAGTTGTTCCTTGTGGAAACGCTGCCAGTCTTATTATTTTATTTTGTTATGATGGCACCTGGCGTACTCATCGTGTATTTACATGTACGTGCTGTTGTGTAATGACAGCAAGATGTTTGTGTATGTGTGAGTGGTACAGATTCACTGTGTGACTTGGGCACCTTTTGAGGTGTGCCGTTCCTAGTTGTTGCATTCTGTCATTCACTCTGGGTGTGTGCTTTTCGAATGTTTCTTTGTGCTCTGACAGCTGGACCCATCAAGTGCAAGACTATGACTTACACGTGGAGACTGAAGGAGCTCGAGTTAGATGTCCGTTCCCGTAATGACATCATGAGCCCGGTAGTTGCTGAGCTGTACGAGGCCATGAAGCCCGACTTGGAGCGCCAACGTGCCAAGTTCCGCGCAGAGCTACAGCTCGAAGAGAAGTACAAGGAGAGAGTTGCACAGATCTTGGCCGAGGCTGAAAGCAAAGAATAGCATTTTTTAGTTGTTGTCTGACCTGTTTATTAATTATTTACTTTGCTTTTTGTGTATATAGTAGTGCCGAACCTTGTGACTTTGTTTCTTGAGCTTTGCCATAGCTCAGTAGCTGGATTTCTGTGTGCCACATTACCCCCAATTGAAATCCCTGGTGGATAGTTATTGAACATCATGATTTGCGATTGGAGGATTGATTGTGGGAATGTGGTTCTGTCAATGTCAAAGCTGATTGTATTTGATGACTGTATTGAATCTATTGATTCTCATCCGTGCTGGTAGCACGTTCTGCTTGTGATTGAAGACAGACTGCTTTCAATCTTAGCATGGTGTTCTGTTCGAGATCACGGGTGCCATGCTTTGTTCCCTAGCTACAAATGAAGAATAGATCTACAAGCTGCGATGGCATGATCTACCATATCTCTATAAAAGCGCAGTCTCTTGTAGAAGCCCAGACTCTATTATTGTTAATATCAAGAGTTCATAACCCGGGTCCCCCAGGTTATCTGTCCCTCCAGGAACTTGCGATTCCGCGGCCGTGTTGTTTTCCGCGATTTGAACAAAAGTCCGTGATATCCGCGATATTTGAAAAAATCATCCGCGTTAGGGGTCGTCCGTATTTTTCGAAAAATTAAAAAATCCGTCCTCAGGCAAAAAGGGAGTGGGTGGTCAAGAGTGCTGGCGGAATTAATTTTTTTGATTTTTCGTACTTTTTTTTGCTCCAGTGACTTTCATACACTTGTTCCACTGATTATAGCTGACTGTGTACTGTAGACGTAGTGTAGGATCGATTGTCGCTAACACCAGTATATACTATGATATACAGGACTTTCATGTAGTTGTAGGACGGTGCATGCATGGCCGGGACGTCGGTAGACCTAATACTCACTGTACTTAGCTACTAGTACTTGACACAGGTGCAGTCAGAAAACATGGGGTCAGGAGTTCTTATTTTTCGAGCTGGGTATGCCGGCATCGGTAATCAAAAAATTAATGGGAAAAAATGAGGGGTGGGTGGGTGGGTCAGAGACAATTTTGCACGAGGACGGATTTTTTAATTTTTCGAAAATTACGGACGACCCCTTATTGTAGAAAACTGTCCTTGATACTTGAAAAGCACCGCGATATTTCGAAAAGCAACCGCGATATTCGGGTCTTTCTTCGATGTTGTTTAGTTCTTGAAGCTCGTCAGTAGTTTACTTGTGAGATCTACACCAGAATGGAGAAGTTTCTGGGCAAATCAGCTGCTGACAAGTCACAAAATAAGGCTCACGTCGAGTGTTGTCCGAGGACGGAGGAAAGCTGTCTTGCAAGCTCCTGTCAGGCAGTTGAACACAGTTAGTGCAGCACACGTTCTGTTTTGTCATGCATGATTTATGCTGTACGACTCGTACATCGTACACCACTACAGTACAAATACCAAATTCGGCCGCAATTTCCGCAATTTTACCACAATAATCCCGCAATATTTGACAAAATCCGCAATATTCCCTGCGATTTGTGGCATTTAACCTCGCAACTTTTTCCGCGATATTTCTGAAATGTCTCCGCAAGTTTCTGGAGGGACAGGGTTATGTCTCTTGTTAATATTATAAGCGCACTCCAAGAGGAGATATACCCTACACGCGCAGGGCCAAACTGTATGGACATCACGAAGGACTTTTTGAAAAGTGTCACATACCCACTTCTGGCAGAAGTCTGAACCCTGAGGTAAAAACGGACATACTTTAAAACGTACTTACGGTACTTGTCATACTTGTTGAGACGATACTAGTGCATACACTACAATGTACTACGTACGTTTTCTTTCCTTTTCTTTTCAGCTGTCGGTCATTTGCCCTGATCATGCCTCATGCGTGTTTCACAGCACAGCATACTAGTAGTACGTTTCCGCTCATTTTCTTCTTCAACACACGCTAGCTGTATTACTTTGTTCTTGCCCGTACATGTGGCTTTTCCATATAAAATAAGAAAATAATGTACTACGTACTGTAGACTAGACTGAGTACGAATACATGTCTACAAAAAAAGTACAGTATTCTAGCGGGATTCACAGAAGCTTTTTTGCGATGCGACAGCCGCGAAACCGGGAAATCCCCAAATCGCAACCATCGCGGACCCCACGCAACTGCCGCAACATGGCTATCGCAGGTAGGCAGCCGTGTAATATTATATGCCGGCATTTTTTTGAGCATTTTCGGTACAATCCGCGAACCCAGCACTTTGGGCTCGTGATTAGGCCTCCGCGGAATATGCTCGTATTTTTACCGATAATTCCTTTGAGCATTGCTCAAATTTTCGACCGATTATTCCCGTAATTCCACCGATAATTCTCACAATAATGCTTTTTTTCTTCCCTTTTTTTGCAGATACCGAGCCGCGTACGGGTTTTTTTGCCACTTGTACGGGCAAAAAATCACGGTTCGCGTGAATTATGCATGAAACTCGGCTGGAAGCTTTTTTTTCTTTCTTTTTTGAAATACCGGGCGATCAACTTCAGGATCACAAGCGTTTTGGTACAAATCAGGGTGTTATAAATGGAAAAAAATTGAAAAAAGGGGGGCATTGCTCAAATTTTACCGATTATTCCACAAAAATTGCCAATAATTCCCGTTTCAAAAATCACACCGATAATTCCCGAAATTATGCCGGCATATTCCGCGGAGGCCTACTCGTGATGCAGCATTTTGGGGGAAACGGAGCACTTGGCCGTTGTGTATCAAACTTGAGAGAAGAAAAACTTCCCAAACAAGAACGTCACTTCCGCATTCCGTGGGTTAGCTTCTTGTTGAGTAGTTTATGAATTGAAAATAATGGTTTTGACCAGGGAGTCGTATAATACCGCTATTTTCTGACTCCCTGGTTTTGAGTCTTTTGACGGCGTGTGCTGAGGATTACAAATAAGTGAGCATTTTCGGAGCATTTTCGGCAAGGTTTGGGAGCATTTTCGGCAAGGTTTACGAGAATTTCCCAAAAGCATTTTCGGCAAAGTTTCGGGCATATTACACCGGGGCGCCCGGGCCTAATCGCAGGCCATCACAGAAGCAGGATTCACAGCAGCTTTTTTGCGATGCGACGCGATCTGCGACGGACGCGTGCGATGCGAAAGCTGTGTTCACAACTGGCGCGTGGACGCGGTACGCTTGCGGTTCATGCGCCCCCAAACGCGCGCTCAGCCTTTCACAAAAAACAGCAATCCGAGTCGTATTTAGCACGGGCGACACCTTCGAGTACTAATTTTTTGACCCCGTCAGTCAAAGTGACTGGCATGTACGCTGATACGTGCCTGATACGCGCTGAAAATTCCAACATGTTGGAAGTTCCATTTCGGCGCGTTTCCGTACGCATGGCGCCCCAAAAGCCAGCAAAAATACGCACAAACGCGTGGTTTCACGCGTACACGCGCCAGTTAACACAGCTGAAGTCGCGAAATACCATTCACAGAAGAAGTCAGTGATGCGACCAGGGAGCCCTACACATACCGGTACGCGGTATGTGTAGGGCTCCCTGGTCGCATCGCGTGTCGCATCGCAAAAAAGCTTCTGTATACATGTACTGTGACCTCAGCTAGCTGTCGGAAAACAACAAAACAAGGAGGTTTCTGCACTGTACTAGTCATAGCCCAAATTTGCTAGCAATTCTTTGAGCAAAATATCGGATGCGCAAGTTTCCGGCAAGTTTTGAGCAAAATATCGAGTTTTGGTGGGCTTTTCGAAAAATCCAAGGCTTCCTCAACACAATCAGTCACCAAGGTTGAAAAGAAGCACAAAAGTTGTAGAAAACAGACTCATGGCTACATTTCAGTGGAAAGGTGAGCAGCAGCAAGAGCTCAATCAAACATATCGTCGTCATCAGCGACAATTATCGTTGAGTTTTCCCTAAAACTCATTTCATCTCGAGCAAAACCAAAGCAAAATGGCCAAGGATCTGCTAAAACCACCCTTTGGTGCTATTTTGCCGAAAATGAGTTTTTGGCGGGAAGTTGGTCCCTGGACATTGCCCAAACATATGGTGAAGTATTAGGCTCAAGTTGTATATATTCATTGAAATATGACCCATCTTATTCAAGCTTTTGGTGCATAAAAATGCCGAAAATAATTGATATTCACACTATAATTCATATCTGAGGCTTCATACGCCTGTCGTATACCTGTCTATGTACAGAGAAAAACTATTTTGCACAGTTATCCAGTATTCTACTATGTATGTTCCGAACATATAATTAGGACATTGGCTCTGCTTGGTCTGGTGCTGGGCAGGTGATATCTCTGCTCTCTGCGTGGCAGTACTGACGAATCTGTTGGTGCAAGTACTTTGCACACTCCGTGAGATTCCAGCCTTCTGGAGCGTCGCTGGCAGATGATCAGATACCAGGCAGTAATACACTTTTGATAAAGGTCACGGGCCACGTTAGCTTCATCAATATGAGCTTTGAGTGCGTCAGCGAGTTTCTGCCGTTCTTGCCCTTACGATCTGAGACTGCAGATCGGAACATACACCGCACACATCTTCTTTTGGCCTCATAATTATCACATCACTGCACTCACTGCTCCATATTTTCAGGAACGTTGTGTATGCTGCTGTTCTTCCAGCCTTGATATATTCAGTATGCGCATGCTTCTTGGTAGTAGCACATGGCAGGTAAGTTGGAGCGGGCCTCTGGCCCTGGGGCAGCAGGCTGGGGAAGTCCATTGATGTCACCATAGTTGCAGGCAGTGCATTCCAGGGCAAAGTACCCTCACGTGTGTGCTGAGGGGGAGCGACAGCATGCTCATACTCATAGACATCCGCCTTAATTAATATTTGTTTTAGCTTCCACTCCTTTACATAAGGCCATCATTTTTTATATCTATGTTTCGCGTCAGTTCAACTTCCAGAATCATATGCGAGAGGTGGAAAAAAAGAAAAAGTTGCAAAATAATAAAAAAAGGCTCATCATGTATATCAGAGACAGAGGTGTATGGACTGTACATAGCAGTAGCACAATAGCTCGTGCATGGTGTACATTCGAAAGAAAAATTGTACATCGAAGCACAACATCTGGGTTATCAGCATGAGGAAATATTCACTTTGGACAGAGGAGGCAACCGTTGGTGCCTATGCTTCGCTGGATTATTGTACTCAGACTTCAGCAGCGGTGCAAAGACCTCCGGAACGACGCATCCTCTCAGCTTGAGGCGATCAATGCTGTCTGGTGTTAGCTCATAAAGTATTGCTCCCAGATGCGGAACAAACGATTTACCAACGCTGGCCTAGATCTAGAGGCCATTTCTGAATCTCAGCTTCGCCGTATATGCAACCAGCCTGGTACATGGTCCACACTGATGACTCACACGATCGTACACTCACCGTGCATGTAAGATTTTTTTATTTTTTTCCGAAAAAAATCAAAACGTATGCGTGCGGACGACGCGAAACATCTTTACTTATAAAAGAGAGGCACCTGTGACGTGTGTCTGTGTGTGTGTGTGTGTGTGTGTCACGCTCCTTATAAAGAAGAGGCACCTGTGACGTGTGTTTTTGTGTCACGCTGAAGCGCTGCGGAGCAGCGCTGCCCTGAGCACGCGAAGCGTGCGAACAGTGTAGCACAGTGTAGCTAGCGGCCGCAGAAGCACTGAGCACGCGAAGCGTGCGAATCGTGTAGCTAGCGGAAGCAGCCACAGAAGCACTGAGCAGCACGCGAAGCGTTCGAATCGTGTAGCCACCACCACGTGCTGAGCACGCGAAGCGTGCGAACAGTGTATAGTACGTACGTAGACCCGGGGCTCGAATCAGAAACGATTTGACAGGTGGGCAATTTCTCATCTGTAAATCTCAACAATGTCAGAATATACTTTTGGAGAGGCGATGGAACAGGGAAGAGAGTCTGGCTTGACCCACCCAGCAGGAATTCAGAACATGGGTGCGCTACAACACAAGCTACAGACGCAGTAAAATTGTCGTATTTCCTTCGGATTTTTTATTTCTACGGTGGTAGCGCTTATACTTATACTATAGCAGACACGATCAGTACGAGTAGCAGTAGCAGCCGCGCGCAGAAGCACTGAGCACGCGAAGCGTCCGGATCATGTAGCCACCTAGCCTAGGCCATAGGTAGCACTAGCAGCCCCACAAGCGCTGCGGACCACGTGAACCGTTCTCTGCAAATAGAAACATCTGCAACAAAAGGATACAAAAGATCTGCACTGACTGTACTCTGCATCTGATCTGCAGTGAAGAGCGCATCGCACTTTTGTTCGTAAGTTTTTGAATTTTTTGAGCCGCTTCATCCGCCACCAGGTACTAGGTGATGGACAACCCTGACCAGCCTCCCGAAGGCGTAACTATGGTAACAGACGTCCCCCTTCTCCTTCCAACGATGAAGAACGGCCCTCACCAGGACTTCAGCGGTCTGGCCACCACCACGTGCTGAGCACGTGTGCTGTTCATGTACTTGCTTCACCCGCATGCCACATTCGGCCAGGCAACGCTGGCGGGGGTGCTGCTAGTAGCTATAAAAAATGATGGCCTAATGATTATGTGCGTACATGAAAACAGTCTGGCACACTTCGTCACCATCCACTTCATAGCGATAGGTGGACCGCACTTTTCTCCGCGCTGCATCCGTTGTGCGATGCTTCCATGGTGAGAAGTAACTGCACCGCGTCGTCTAAACACGTCGAGCTTTCCACAATTCCAGCGACGTAACAGCACAGCTCTTCGTTCGTCATTGCCAGCGCTGTGTTGCGTTCAGTGAGTAGAGTATCCGGTGACACGTTCTTGAAACAGTTGACATCGGCACAACTGCAGCCCTTGTCCACTCGCGCCTGTACCTCTTCAACAGTACTGGGCGCCGCCTGGCCACGGGATTTCTTAGGTTGGCCCTGTCCTCGGGCGGCGAGGGCTTGTGCTGGCTGTAGCGCTGGCGCCTCGTCCAAATTCCTCTCCGCATCGATCGCAAGCGCGATCGGCAGGGTCAGGAGCGGAGAGGCGTCGGTCGATTCGTCATCGCTCTGGTCGTCAGAATCTTGATCTGACCACCCGAAGAACGATATATCGTTATTCGGCAGTGCTGACGACTCCGCTGCCGAGAATCCGACAACAATTTGTGCGAACGAGCGCCTTCGTCCTCCTTCCGCCATGACTGTCACCTGCGAGCTGCGATGATTAGAAAATCGAGACGTGCTGACGTTTTCTTCATTTTCTCCGAAAAATTACACAGCACCGAAGGGTGGTTTTAGCAGATCGCGGGCCAAATATCGACGGAGAAAGGAAATGCAAAGCAGAATATCGAAAAATTTGTGGCAAAATTGTGCGGCAAAATATCGATGTAGGCCGAGCCATGACTACTATTTGGACAACAAAGTACATAGAATGGCTTGTTAGGACACGGCAAATTGTTCTGTGAAGGTTTCGGAACAATTGGACCAACCGTTAAGGAGTTAGAATTTCGGCCAGGTTTCCGGCCTTTTCCCATGGTTTACAATTTGCCCAGGAAGCCAGTATCGATTTTTTTATCAAAACCCACGATTTATCCTTTCCTTTTTGGCCTTGTGGTTATGAATGCTGTCTGCTGACCATGAAGTTGTGAGTTCAAATCCCAACCTATCCTCAAGTCAAACTTTTTTTCATTGTTTTGGTGATCAAGCTGGTACAAGACAAAGAAGATGGCTGCACCAAACGACTTGTTGTTGGAGGTCGCGCTTCCTGCCGAACTGACTGACACTTGACTGGCTCACGCCATGTGAACACACCCACAACACTGCAATGGTGTGAGTGAATATGGAAGTCATCGCGCTGTAGCTTTTTGAGATTTATTTTTAGTATTTCAAGATCGCCAATTTATTTGAATTTAGCAGTCAACGCCGTCTTCTATCAGCGTTCACAAGCGTCTGTTTTTCTCAAAATGTCGTCGAAGTCACACGGATAGCTTTGCCAAGTCATGGCCTTGGGAATGAGTCCGTGTCGATGTCGTTTTCGTCACCCGGTGAGTAAATAATGCGATGCAATTTAATTGCATCGCAGCTCAAAGAAACTATTTTGGTCACAAAACGGATTGGGACACATGCCGCTCGTCAACATTTACAACACTAACGTTTCGACATGTCCTCTCTGACTCCATTATCGATACGAGGAAGAACTCGTTTGTTGTAAACCAGACGTACGTCCATGACTGTGTCAACGTGAGTGAGTTGTCATTTTTCCTGCTTTCGCGCGGAATATTTCTTCGAGTTCACAGTGAGTTTTTCCAGGCAGCGCTCGAGTGCTCATACGGTAAGACGCCAAACTCCGCGGGCGATCGCCAGGGTTGTAAATCTTTTTGAAACGGACTGTTACTAAGTATTCTGCACTGCAGCTGCACGTCACGTGGGCCCATCGTACCATGCATGGTACGGTGGTACGTGGTGCATAATGGAATCATCGTACCCGGGTACGATGATTCCATTATGCACCACGTGAAAGGGCGCATGCATGCATCGCATGTTTGAATTTGAACCTGCATGTGGCACGCGCACGTGGGTTCTGTCGAACGTAGATATATCTACCCCCTTCATTTTTCTCTACTTCTCTATCATAACATTCTGCACTGTTTCAGACAGAGAAGAGTTAGAGTCTAGAGACAGTTGTGGCCATGTTTGCATGCTTGAGCTGAAGATGTTCCTAGTACTAGTAGTAGTAACTTCCTACCATTGCCTTTATCGTCAAATAGCATTGTTGCAATAGTGTGAACTAACTGTTACTTCAGCAGACGGGTAGCTAGCAGAATGGCGGAGAATGTTCGGATTCGCGAGACAACAGCTGAGGACATGCCAACTCTTCGATCTCTAATCGAGGTAAAAGTGCATGTCACTTAGTAAATAAAATAAGTCCCGGCCATCGTTGCCATCTCATCAGAGGATTTTACTGGCAAATGTAACCCAAATGTAACCCTATCGAAACCCCAAAATAATGTTATTAAAAAAATTAATGTCCCTCAAACCAGTGAATAAAAAATAATGCGATAAATAGAATAAATGATGCCAACATAATACCATTACAAATTCATGTAACAAACAATCATGAAATGCAAAAATCATGTATAAACTGTAAATCAACACCAGCTAGCACTGCACGGCTGTCAAGAAGCGGCAACTTAGACAGATGGCGTCGGTTCGAGATAGCATGGTAACCGCGCACGTGCCGTGGTCCGTGACTTGCTCAGGTATGCACGCAAATGCAAGTCACAAACTCACAAAGATCGTCTGTGCATTTGGAGAAAATATCTTCGACTCTTGTTGGAGGTTGGTGAGGTTTGCCTAATCTTTACTTGATTGCGATGCCGGTATGTCCTCTCAATAATTAGAACAAAGAGAGCTGATGATCGCTTCATTGCTGAGCAGAAGTAACAATCAACTCTCCTCAGGTCCTCAGTGCCAAAGGCAGACGACTGCAATTCCACAACGCTCATTTCACGATGATGGAAACAATAATCGTGTACACACTTGGACCATTTGGTCATCCCTATTCTAGCCGCTAGTCCGCCCAGCAAGCAGATATTGACTATTATGATAAGGACAACTGCGTGAACGCCCAGCAAATACAATTCACGTCGTGACTCCAGTCAAGAATTAGGGTCTTACTCGAGAACTTTACAAAGACAAAGTGTCCCAAGTGACTGAAAACAGCAGATCTACCAAATAAGACAGCTACAGGTGCCTAAACAACGATTTCAATACAGTAGAGAGTAGTATCAGGCAGAATGAAAGCCTTGGAAGTCCACAAATACAGCCACGACCGCCACAAAAAAATTCTCATTGCTCTACCTCCTTGAAGGGTGAAAGTTACCAGTTATCCTATAACGAAGTCAGTTTATGCCTGTTGGAACCCCCCCCCCCCCCCCCACAGCCCGCACGAAATACCTTTCAAATAACTCCAGGATGCAATTTGTAGCTCCAGACAGGAGGAAGAAGCACACCGTGGAAATTAACGGCAGCGATGCCCAAACTCTCGGGAAACGGCTGAAGTCTTCCTGAAGATGTTAACATTGAATAGCCATCGATTACCAGCGTGTTTTGATGACTTCAGAACTGTTTTGAGACTTGGAACGAAGCGATATCTCAAATTTGATGGAATTGTTACCTGTCAAATGCGTGGGCGAGCAGGCCAGCTGACTGGCTATGCATGAGTATGCATTGATTCTTCATGGTTCACGTGCAGAAAACTAAGTTGCCGCGATCCAAGTGCAGCTAACAGCCATGACTGGAGAAGAAATCAGGAAAATGCATGTGTAAAATAAAGATTTTCAAACGCAAACCGAAAAAAAACTTCAAATCAAAACTTTATGAAACGAGAGAGCTTGGAAGCTCAGGGCCCTGCGCTATGCTTTGTTGCCTAGCTCATCGTGCATGTTGTTAGAACTGATGGAAATGCTTTTTCCTTTGATTAGCTACATCATTGTTTTGCAAAAACGTTTCAATGAGATACTGAAGTACAAGTAGCGTCTTCTGCATAGCTATGGGACCGGCGCTGACTCTGCCGATGACGGGCGTTCTGGAGTCGACGGGATGTCTGTCCTGACGTTTCCTGGGACCGGCGCTGACTCTGCCGATCACGGGCGTTCTTCTTCTTCTTCTTCTTATTATTATACTGACGGCAACTAACATCCATTCTGATTGCATTTACTCGTCTCCCTACTTCGTATTTCTTTCCAGAAAATCTCCCCATACAGCAGGGAGTCGTTTACATAATATGACTCCCTGCTATACATCTACATGACTGTATATACGTTATAATTATTATGCTATCGGCCTACATGCGATTTCCGGGCTGGTCGACAGGCGGCCCAGCCAGCCTGCTAGTGGGATCTCGGCCTCGCACACAAATCCACACAAAATTTAATGTTACTGCACTGAATGCATTCCCCCCATACACTTCGCATATATACTCATTCTCTTGATGGTACCGTACTCTTGATGATACGGGACAGGTACGGGATAGCGCCAGGCATGTCGATGGCACAAACAAACAAAAATATTGTAGCCAGCTGTCTTTGCTGGTACGGTACAGTACGGGATAGATACAAAATAGCGCCAGGCGTGACACAAACACACAAACAAACACCAAATTAAAGCTGTGTGGACCCTGGCTAGCGCCAGACGTTACTGAAGTAACGTCTTCTGCATAGCTACGGGAATAAATTGAACTATTATAGAATACCTAAGTTAGAGAAATAACACCTAGAACAACAGCAGTGAAATTTACAAGTATGAATTTTAACAATGAAAGCGAGAGCAATCACGAATGTGTGTTCTAACTTAACTTGCAAATGAAAAAAGAGAAAGAAAGAAGGACAAAGTGATACCGTATTTCCGCGCATATAAAGCCATGGCGTTATAGGTGAAACATTGCTGTTTTTTTGGAGAAAATAGCCTCGGTTTTAACGCCATGGCGCTAAAAGTGAGAGACGCGTACATGCAAAAAAATCGGCAGAGTGTGAACTTCGAGTACTCGTACGGTGCCGTTGCACGTTCATGTCGAGCATCCATGTACTTTCAATTTTCCCTGAAAATTTCAAATTGTGAACCTATTGTGTACAAGGTGGTATACAAACTTGTGTGAAGGTGCGGTGGCGGTATGGCATGTGACAGTGGGGATGGGTACATCCAGAGAGAATCACCGCTACTGTAGGTTCACTGAAAGAATTGAACTCTGTCTGCACTTCTGAAGACGTCTGTATAGTCAGTTTTGTCCCGGTTGATGACCAGGGACCACTGTGGTAGCGAGTTGTACTCACGTACAACTCGGGTACATGGGGGGTCAGTGTGACCGTTCTGTCTCGCCTGGATTCCTTCCACCGCCGTCAGTTAAGGTCACTCATCGGCGTGAAATGGCCACAAATAATACCGAATGATGCTCTCTATGCCAGATGCGAGACTGAACCCTTGAGTGTCATGGTCAAGAGATCACGCTGGAGGCTGTTTGGCCACATCCTGCGGATGGCGCATGAATCCCCAGCTGTTATGGCTATGTTCGCGTTCTTCGCCAATCAGCGACAGCAATGCTGGAGGGGTAGACCGCGGACGACCCTGCCGCAGGCATAGGTGGGAGATCTGCGCCAAGCCAATGCCGGATTGCTCGGGAACCTAGACGCTCTGCAGAGCCTGCAAGCCATTGCCCATGACCGACCCGCATGGCGAGATCTATGCATGAAGATCTGTGCATCGTGATATTCCGACAGATCCTGAACAGTCAAACTCAGGAAGTAGCACTATTATGATCGCTCAGGCTGCAAAATTCATAAATGACATATAGACATATTCATAAATAACATATCTTCAATACCCATGAGCTACATTGTATATGAAATAGAGGTTGCGACTTCGGCGATGATTTTGTTTAGGAATGGGTTTGCTCCCACACTGGAGCTCGCGCTATTCCGCCGACGACTTGATACTTGACTGACTCACGACTGCCATCCAGAGAACACGAAAAGTCCATCGAACCTTCAACTCGGCAAACCTGCAAGTAAGCACCGCTCCCTGCTCAATACACAGTGTTTCGGGGAATTCACCCCTCATCAGTTGAGCTTGAGTAGGCTGAGGAAGACTGTGCCTGAAGAGCACCACTTATATAGTGCTGTCCAGGCACAAACATCACCAGGGATACAAACTTACAGAGACACTCCGTTTCCAGCGCGACAAACACCTCGCTCATCAACTCAACTGATGAGGGGTGATTTCCCCGAAACACTGTGTATTGAGCAGGGAGTGGTGCTTTCTTGCAGGTTTGCCGAGTCGAAGGTTCAATGGACTTCTCGTGTTCTCTGGATGGCAGTCGTGAGTCAGTCAAGTGTCAAGTCGTCGGCGGAATAGCGCGAGCTCCAGTGTGGGAGCAAACCCATTCCTACATTGTATATGATATAATGATATATCATCGTTCTAGCTCAATTTTTTCCCTGTCATAGTCCTGTTTATCATGTTCAGCATAAGCGAAGTCACAGTGTGAATCATGCTTGCATGGTTGACTCCAACGCATACATGCAAGTAATAATAATATTAAAGTTTGCATTTAAAATTGAGGTTCTCCCAATCGTATGATACCGGTAATAATAAAAGGCCAGACCAAAGTAAGCTTTGATTCAGTTCGGCACGATGGTGGGGACACCCAGCTATTACGACGGGTTACGTGAAAGTGAACGCTTTGACAAAGGAAACAAAACTTTGAAACGCACAAAGCAAAAAAAGAGGGAAAGTTGCTGTACTCTCGGAAAGCATGTGGCAGTTGACACAGAACACTGGAAAAGTTCGAAATAATTTCGGACCCTAAACCGCATGATTATCCAATAGGGTGTCGCCAAGAGTCCATCATAAACAAGATCATGCAACTGTGGTTGTGAGTCTGTGTGCGTCGCGCTGCCTTCATTACTTAGCTTGCCTCCACCACACTCTGAATGCATGCACTCAAACCCACAACTTCTTGCACCAGCACAACCGTTTTGCTTGATTGGTTGGAGTACCCACGCTATTTCTAAAGTTTGGGCGCGTGAGCTCCAGTTCCGTATGAGAGTTCATTTCAAACCTGAGGGAAAGCGTGGTGTTTGATTTTCCGCAGTGCGCGGACCGCAGCTGAATGATGTATTGAAGGCAGCACGCCACACTTCTGGCCCATAGAAAAGAGATCACAGTTGCATACTCTTGTTCATGGACTCTTGGTGTGACTTGGGACACATCCCCCTTGATGCGGCGGCATCACTCAGCACCAGGAGGAAGGACTCTTAGGAGAGTGGTGACGAGGATCATTGGAGGCGTATTGTGCAGTACACCTTAACTCACTAACATGCACACATTGCGCGCACTGAGCTTTGCTCGCCCATGGAATCTCGTAGACCTGTACAATGTTTTCAAGAGTTCCTCTGAATGCCGGATCTGTATTGTTTTTGTTCCTGCAGTTCCTGCTGCTGCTGCTGCTGCTGCTGCTGCTGCTGCTGCTGCTGCTGCTGCTGTTGTTGTTGTTGTTGTTGTTGTTGTTGTTGTTGTTGTTGTTGTTGTTGTTGTTGTTTCAAATCTTTATTCTCACGATAGCCAGTGGCCAATAAGAGATATTGTTGTTGTTGTTGTTGTTGTTGGCGTGCTCTGCTGTGCAGGCATTTTTGCCGTTTGTTTCGAATGCACCCGGTGATGCAGTGACTATCACTGTTGAAGGTAAGCCAGTGTTGTTGCCCGGCATATTATGGTTACTTATTGTGGTTCATCTCCCTTACTTTCACACACAGACACATGCCATTGCTATCATTGTAGTGGTTTTGGAAAGTCTTTTTCCTTACTGGAGAAAGTACTTGAACTTTTCGAGGAGTTTCGTTTTTCTGAAGAGGTAGATTATTGGCCTCTTCAGAAAACGAAAGTCTCCCCGAAACTCCTCGAAACTCCACAACATCATCCGATGGGAGAGGTGGATTAGTGCCTTTGGTGTGCATTTCCTGTAGTACTTACGACAAAACGTGCACATACGATAAGGGAAGCCCATTATCAATTTATCATGTGGGAGGCACGCCAGGAAAATCTCATTGCTATGACAATTCCAAAGGGAATGGCGAGGTTGACAGCACCCGTTCTATTCGGATACTTCAACGGATCTCTTCTAAGATGTTTCTTGAAAACTGCTATGACTTTTCAAGTACAGGCCTACCCTTGTTGGTACAACATCGGTTACAAGACAAAACCTCCTTGGTAGACAACGATCCAAGATCCCCTGATGAAATGCGTATAGCAGTCGTACATGCAAGTCCGGAGAAGAGATCATTAAATTTTGTTTGTAGACGAAATTCGTTATAAGTTATAACGCCATCTTCAGCTGTCCCACATTTTCGATTCCCTCATTTCAAGACAAAGCAAATGGCCATGGATACCTCGATCGATGTTTCATGTTGTCTTGTATAGGGGTCTGTCGGAAAATTATCTTATAACAGGTTGTCTTGTACAGGGGTCTGGGGAAAACAATGTCTTATATTAAATGAGGAAACATCATTTCTGAGGCGGATACGATATGAATGATGTAAAACAGCAGAAAAAATGTGCAAGCCCTGATAGTAGATAAAACTCGTTATAGCACAAAAATGTTGAAACCCCCGGGGTTGTATACTAACGAGGGTAAACCTGTATTGTTGTTGTTCCTTTGTTGACTGCTTTGCTCTTCTGCTGGAATCCTTTGAAAGTTCATCAAGCTAACTTACTTCCGTGTTCTGACTGAGTATTGTATGAACTACAATAGCACTCTCTGAGTGGACCTTTACTACCTGCTCCTCCTCATCCTGACCACCCTTGCCGCTCTCATTCACACAAGTGTTTCTTTGCCATCTTCTCTCCTAGACCTTGTCCGAGATGGCTTCGGCGATAAGCCCTGCTTCACTTGCCTCTTTCTTGAAGTTCTTGAGGATGGTACGTTGATAGCATGCTCATCATGCAAAGAAATGTGCATTGTGTGGTGCCCGACTTCCACCAGTGTTCCTAACACATGCATGTACCTATGCGTCATGTCCATAGCAATGCCACCGTAGTGAGTAGCCTACTTTCTACTCCTTACGGACTTGGCTAGCTAGAGTAGGCTTTGCAGTGCATGTACATATACAGCGCCTGCTTTCTAGCAACTCATTGCCAATCTGGTGGGATGGCGTCATCTGCCAGCGCAGGATGTTGTGGGGTTGAATGCAACTTTATAGCTTATAGTTATGCACGCATGCAGACACATGAGGAAAACCAGCACCATGCATTGGTTAGATGACTAGGGAGTTCAAAGACAAATATTTCATGTGCACTTCAAGTAAAATAATAATACTAATAATAAAGTGCTTCTATGCAGCTCTGCTTATGCAAGAAATTGAGACTCACATGCTCCCATTCTCTTTACTGAACGTTTGACTGGTATGTCGGCCGTGTGTTACAGGCAAACCGCCACAAGTCGCAGGCTACACTCTGTACTACTTTGCATATTCAACATGGTCAGGCCGTGTGCTCTTCATGGAGGACATCTTTGTGCTGCCTGAACATCATCGTGAGTGGCTGACTGGCATCCACATTGCTATCTCTATTAAGTTGTACTGTGTGTGTGCTAAAATTTCTATTCTTCTCTAGTAGAGATTCTGAGAAGTATGCACTGCATACCGTGACCATCCATTCAGAATACCTTGGAGTTAAGTGGTCTTACAGTTTTTGTATCTGAATGTGTGTGTGGGTGTGGGTGTGCGTGTGTACATGTCCTCTCCATCACAGGAAAAGGATTCGGGAAATTTATTCTGAAACACTTGGCTAAGGTAAGCGGCTACTGTGAACTCTGCTGAGCAGTGCTTTTACAAATTAATTCAGGGACCTCAGTGTGGAAACTGCAGCCGTAATTACTTTTTGGTCCTGTTGCCAGTTTCTCTGTGTAGAACCCATCGTGCAACATCTCTGATTGGATATTGTTTTCGTCAACACAAGCAGGGATTTCTATGTAGTAGATGAAAGCCATTGGAGATGAACATTGCGAAACTGTGTGGGTCTGTATGAGCTGATCAATATTGTATATTTGCTCACTTGATTTCATTAGAGTTGGTTAAGTCACTCTTGAGATCCACCCAGGATACCTTGTAGGCAACAAGGTCGAAACTGCTAACTGTCCCGGATAAAGGAGTCTCACTATACATCATGTAGCCCACCCACTGTCTTTCCCCAGCACCCCACCTTTTTTCTTTTGCCTGGAAACAAACTACTAGTACTACTTGAAGTAGTACCAGGTGCCAAATTGCACTGCAAGAGCTGCATGCAAGGGGACTTTATTTCGCACCCTTTGACCTTTGTTAGTGTTGATGATCAATCCACTCGATGTGGACACACCATCTACACCATACTACTAGTGCAACGTGACCGACCCTGGATTCACGTCATACAGAACCGTGACGAGCTCTCTCATCTGCACCGCCCCTGATCAGAGCGCGGAAGGGATCGAAGTGATAGAGCGCTCTGTTGATGGTTTACTGTACATCAACGGTATTTGTTTCCCGATGTTTTTTTTCCTGAGATGCATCGCATTAGTGTTTGTTGGATGCTCCTTCCGTTATGAACTATGTCTCTCTCTCTCTCTCTCTCTCTCTCTCTCTCTCTCTCTCTCTCTCTCTCTCTCTCTCTCTCTCTCTCTTGTTGATCTTCACGGCTATCAGATTGCGTTGGATAACAAATGTGAGAGGTTGTCTTGGCAAGGAATCAAGGAGAGAGACTGTACCCATTTCTACAATGCTGTTGGAGCTGGCTGCAACTCAGCCTGGAGCAATTTCAAGTTGGATGTGCAAGGCATGGCCAGTCTCCTGGAGGAACCGTGATTCGGATGCGAGAGTGGCACTAGCCATTGTCTTTCACGATAGTCACGACATAATATTGCCGGGATATAAATAGGTGTGTGAGGGCATTTTCTTTTCTTTGTATTTATCATATTTTGTGTCCATGGGTTGTGTCATGGGCTGAATTTCGTGTGATCAATTTTGTCAAATTCACCATAGCAACATGCATTAGGGCACATCCATCTTCGCATTGCACAGTGCGATGTTGCCTGGTCACTCAGTCACTTTCGTCTGACTTGTTCTTCTAAGCTTTCGTCGCCAATGCTGGTCACTGGTGAAGGAAGGCTACATGTCCCAGTCTTAACTTATCTTTTTGTGGGGTTTTTTGTTGCCCCTGGTGCATCCCAGGTTGTCTTGACGACGATTCAGTGGAAGTTTTTTTCTATTTTTACTCCTTAGTGTGTTGTGTGCAAGTTTTTCCACTGTTGCGTGAAATTATTTCACTTTATTTGCAATTATTTCCCATCCGCACGTGATTCTTTCGAAGTATACATGTAATTATTATGTTGTGCTCTACGCAGAATATTCGAATCTACGTCTACCCACTTTGCCGCTTGTGACGTTGTGTGTTGTGCTGCAAAGAGCTCTTCGTCGAGTCTGTGACTCGTGTCCAGGTGCTTCAAGCCAGCATTCTTTCTGTATCAGACTCATTTTCTCCAATCTCCATCCATCGTGCAAGCCTGTTCTTCGCGTTCGATTCCGTCCCAGCTCTCGACCATCAAGGGTGAGCTTGCATACATAACTAGCAGCACCCCAGGCCAGCGTTGCCTGGCCGAATGTGGCATGCGGGTGAAGCAAGTACATAAACAGCACACTTGCTCAGCACGTGGTGGTGGCCAGACCGCTGAAGTCCTGGTGAGGAAGGTTCGTCATGGTTGGAAGGAGAAGGAGGGACGTCTGTTACGCCTTCGGGAGGCTGGTCAGGGTTGTCCATCACCTGGTGGCGGATGAAGCGGCTCAAAAAATTCATAAACTTTTAATACGAACAAAAGTGTGATGCGCTGTTCACTGCAGATCAGATGCAGAGTGCAGTCAGTGCAGATCTTTTGTATCCTTTTGTTGCAGATGTTTCTATTTGCAGAGAACGGTTCACGTGGTCCGCAGCGCTTGTGCGGCTGCTAGTGCTACCTATGGCCTAGGCTAGGTGGCTACATGATTCGCACGCTTCGCGTGCTCAGTGCTTCTGCGCGCGGCTGCTACTGCTACTCGTACTGATCGTGGCTGCTACCACCTACACTGTTCGCACGCTTCGCGTGCTCAGCACGTGGTGGTGGCTACCCGATTCGCACGCTTCGCATGCTCAGTGCTTCTGTGGCTGCTTCCGCTAGCTACACGATTCGCACGCTTCGCGTGCTCAGTGCTTCTGCGGCCGCTAGCTAGCTACACTGTGCTACACTGTTCGCACGCTTCGCGTGCTCAGGGCAGCGTGACACAAAACACACGTCACAGGTGCCTCTTCTTTATAAGGAGCGTGACACACACACACAGACACACGTCACAGGTGCCTCTCTTTTATAAGTAAAGATGTGTGGGGTTGCACTGTTTTCCGATGCTCGCCGAATCATGTCTGGTGGATAATGGGCCAGCAGGGGCCTATGTTGCTTTGTTGCAAATGTCCCCAGCTTTTTTTCTTCTTTTTTTTCCCCAGTCGGCTACTATCATTATTTTCGTCTTGGGGGTTAGCATGGTTAGACAAGGGGAAGTAACCATGTAGGGGTGTGAGCCCGCCTTCCGGCACCGGGAGTTGCAACTCGCTCGACTCGACTATACTGAGGGAAGAGAACCCATACCTTGATCTGGTGAGCTGCGTCGTGGGGATTATGCAGTCAGATGTGCGACTGCCTTTAGGTTAAACTGTTTAGTAAGCAGATCAACCCAATTAGGCCAATGTGACTATCATAGTGAGTATAAAATTAAGTGCCCTTCGAAACGAAGCCCGACAGACCCAACCCTTAGAGCCGACATTATCGGTAGTTGCGTCTGTCCCATGCCATGGCCCAGAACTTGAGAAGAGTCAAGAATTTATCATTATTAGACTGCTAGCAAACCATGACAAAGGTGACTACAACTATTACTTGAAATGGTCTTGAATACATCCAACAATCAGTTCTGACTCATCTGAGGCATATGTGCATGACTGATTGTGCTGTCTGCGCCGCCTCGAACTCGAAGGGCTACCGGTAAGGCGGTATGTTGCACGAACCGTCGTTGGTTGTAACCAGGGATATCGGGGTTGTAACTAACGTAGTAACGATAGTAACGTGTTTCTTTACTTACTTAGTCTTTCTTGTATCGATCCTGTACAATCAGTCATCTTGGTCATCTTGCCCACTCTTGGTCATCATCATGATTGTAGATCTACCTGGTGGCGACAAGGCCAAGGCTCAACTGTTACTTGCGTCGCTCAACCTGAGTTGACAGCCTCAGGAGTAGATCTACGCCCATTACTGCATTAGCGGCTGTCGTTGCAATGAATGGGCCGCCACTGCGAGTTGTACGCCTCCCTGGTACCACTTCATTTATGATTATCATTATAATAATAATTATCTGGACTACAAGTACTAAGTTAGTAAGTAGTACTAGTTTGAGGGAAAGACACAAACGGGAAAAGTCTGAAGAAAAAATTGACTGTCATGTCACCACCATGACTCGAACCAGGCCAGGGACCCTCGCTTGTAGCTAGCGATGCTCTAACCACTGAGCTATGGTGTAGTCGTCACCCCAGCAGATTATGTAAGCTTATTACTACTTTGTAGCATTACAGCGTAGACTAGTGTTCGGATCGGTAGCGCCATTCTCTAGTCTATCGATAGTATCGTATGGAAGAGTTTTGCGCGTACTGAGCCGTAGGTTGTGAGTTTTCATTGATCGGGTGGGGCCAGTGTGCTAGTGAAGGTGCAGACAGGCAAACCCCCACAATTGTTCAATCGTAGATCTATCGGATGCCGTGCATGCTCCTCTTGTGCAGTAGTGGCACGTTTCGCAGCATCCGGATCGATCCCACACCTTTTTCACTTCAGACAGCAACAAAATTGCAGGGATCTGGAACAGCCAAGGACACACCAGTCCACGCTGAAATAGCGGACATTTCGACGTTCCAGTGACCGGGTCATATTGAACCAATCCGATCATCGCCTTACGGCTAGACTGCATCTGGGTGTCATGTCCGTGAAGGATCTGAAGGAGACGATGGCGGAGCCAGTCCGACTTCGGGAGGCAACGGCGGAGGACATGCCTGCTGTATCTGGACTACTCAAGGTAAAACAAAATTAATAATTAATTCGCTATCTACTGTACACGCTGTAGGCTTGTCTAAGGGGGGGGGGGGGGGGGGCACTTCAGTACCCCTGCCATCATCTACATGGGTGACATTTAGATCTACCGGTACACATAGGTCTATGATGGGCTTCTGGTGAGCGTTTACTAGCTCCTCGAAGATCTGGGCGCTTTCGTCTGACTGAGAACAATCTTAGGCTACCCGAGCATTGCAGCAAACATTGCACATGGTCATAATGTGCATGCACATGTATCACGGAAGGTGAGCCGGGTCCGGATCGTCGGGCAGACTGAGCTACCGTTGCAATGCAGCCTACTCGCAGACACTACTGCATGGGTCCTGACCAGTTGATCTTCCAACGGGTGAACCAATGGCCACCAAGGACTTGGGTGAATTGGGCCGGTTGTGGCCATGCCATGCCATGCCCCGCCACGGAACACGAAACAGATATTGGAGGTTTCGGCATAGGGATCGAGAGCGAGCCTATCACACTTATGCTGCCACTGTGTGTGATTCTGTGCATCCACCTTGGCACCGATGATAGGCGTGTCTATACTATGGCATATGGGCACTTCTTCATGCCGTTGTCAGCACAGACGGCCTCTGTATTATCCTGGCCAAGTGACACGATGTCGGAAATGTGTCAGTGCCTCTCTGCGGTGGGCCGTACGGGGTGGGAGTGGGGCTTAGTGCGGGCTTGCATGAATGCGTGGTGTGTGATGTTGCCCATGCAACTGGGATGCATGCACCCATGGTGTATGACTATGACACTGCACTCAAACACACAATCGTAGCCAGGTCACTGGCAGAATGCTCAGTGCTGCTTCGGTTATCCGGCACTGATCCAGCTGCTACTGTCCACCATGATACACATGCACATGTGCAGTGCTGCTCAACTTGATGAAAACCTGTGTAACCGTCAAGTTTGCGCCTTGCATCATTCCGCAGCCCAGTGCTTGCAGGTCTATGGCTGCGCAACGCCCGGCGCGTACTTGAGTGACGCAACTGGATTTCATTGAGCAACACTGTGCAGTTGGCTCGGCTATTACATTCTACTGTCATATTGCAGGCATTTCTCCCCTTCGTTGAGGAGCCTGGACTTCACGAAATGGTGACGACAGAAGGTGAGTGGAGTTCTGCAGACCTTCACATGCCATATTAGTGTACACAGTCATGTACATCTCTGGATATCCGGGCGGCACAAAGTATCACATGCCGTGCATGTACAGTAGGTATCGGTAATAGCGTGGGTGTTTGAAGAACGACTTTCTATTCTTATTTCCGATACTTCTTACACACGATACATCAAGTGTGACATATCATATGCATGTGCACAGGGGCAGGAAGATCATCGTACGTGCAACGTAGTGCTACTGTGCATGCGGCTGATCATAGTCCCATAGGCTTACCATGTGGCTATCCAACATGAGTTACATGACCACAACAGTTGAACCTGCACTGGCTGCAGCACTACGACGCAACGCGAGTCAGATCAGAACTGCATGGGACAGATGTTATTACTACAGGCGATTACGGATACACTTTGTACTAATCTGGCATGTTTTGCTACACAAAGTCCATTCTTAGGACTGATCTATTCTACTATGCGATAAAATTGCTTGTAAGAATAAAAGTGCACTTGAAACCCATGTTATGATTATGAAAACATGAGAGTTCATTCTTGTAGGCGGTATATTCTTTTACACGACCACGCTATGATAACCGATACGCACTATACTCAGTAGAAGGCAGTCTACCAGGAGATCAAAATGGGAACAGTGATCCATGCGGGCTAAGGGATGCACAATATTGTCATGGTGATGATTTGCAGACCTTACCACCCATGAATAAGCCACCATGCGGTCTTCGATCTGAGAGTTACTTACCGGCCACACATGTGCAATGCAGATGGAGCTCCTCATGCAAAGTGTAATGACTTTCGCAGTCATCTAAAACACACAACAACACTCAACTTCGTCCTGTTTTCAACTAACTAATTACTAGAATAAAACCTATAGTAGCATGAGTTGCCATCAGCATACAGTGTGAATGCCACAAGGTCGTACGGTGCACGTGCGTAGTATGCATGATGTCACCAGTCAGACATAAATGGCAATGGGGTAGAATAATGCATAGACAAAGGTCAAACACTATAACACAAATATGGACCCAGATCCACTACACAAAGGTCTGGCTCAGGATAGGAAATAGTGCCGCACTAGAGCTCAGCCTTGGAGTGCTCTGTTGAAGTTCAACAGTATAACCTACACGTGCAAGTGGTGCATGTACCATGGCACTATGTTTTGCACTTTTACCCGGGTACAAGACGGACATGAGCCAAATGGGCATTCATATAATTCACCCCCCCCCCCCCAAAGACCTGTAGTATTGGACTATTAGTGGTGGGCTGTGGTAATTTCTCTTATATGCGGCTAGATCTCATTCGGGATGGATTCGGAGACCGACGCTACTTCACCATTCTCCTGCTTGAGCTCGTCAAAGACGGTAAGAGTACGAGCCACCTGTACCGGTCATCTATTGTGTTTGGTACACCGGGCCATGTGTTCATAAACTGCCCATAGCATCTAGAAAGGCATTCGTCCACGGCACGCTAGTCCATCCGGCTGTCTTTCGCTGTGTGGATCAGCTGAGGCTCATCCCTAGCATTGGGAATACTCCGCGGTGCTTGCAGAAGCCATCATGGACCGTGACTTTATACTAAGCCAATAGGCTACCTCCCAGTGCGGATCCAAAGTCATGTCTAGAGTCTAGAGTCTAGGGATGTAATGAGCCAGTTGAACCTTTGAAGTGATGTGCAGATGCCTAGCCATGGCTGGCTATAATCACCCTCACCTCCTCCTTGATTGGCCTTGGCCATGAGTGTGTGCGTAATAATAATAACACACTTCTTCCATGTGCATAATGACCATTAGTTCCATTCCTCCAGCCTGCCTTATACTAGGTCTAGGTTGCCTAGCTGTGTTGTACCACTTGAGCATGCACGGTTGCTTCAGAGCTGGTATACGTCTATGCGTGTTAACGTAAACATGAGCGTGTATACTGCTACCATGTACTTGAAGTACATTGTAGTGCACTGGCCACGTACAGCTGATGCATGTGTAATGCTTCCATGGCTTTGTCTTGTTACAGGAGAAGCCGCATTGGCCATTGGTTACACCATGTACTTCTACAAGTATTCATACGGTGGCCGCTCTCTGTACATGGAGGCCATTTTCGTCTTGCCGGAACACCACCGTAAGTCGAGTCAATTTAAATCTGAAAGTGCAAGGAGCCTTGACAGCCACAGTGCCCAGAGCTCTGGTGCGGCTTGTTGTGCATGTATAATTTGTTGTGATCTCGAACTCGTCAGTCACTGCCTGGAACTGATTTTATTGTTAAGAAGACGCGAACTTATAGAGTGTGAAGAAGACTATATCGAGATAGAGAGCAGTGGAAGGAGAGCCGCTGGACAGCTGGGTAGTGTATCAATAAGCGCACTAGGGGAAGGCTAGACAGTCTGTCTCTAGACATCAATAGGTATTATATGAAAAGCTAGTCAATAGTACTAAAGAGTAAAGTCAACCACAACACAGACCATAGCTTCAGACAATCATGACAGGCATGATACAGATAATACATCATTTCCATCATTGCCGCTGCAGTTTGAGATTAATCATTTCAGTCATACTATCTCCCCTGTACTGTATCCCGCTGCTATGATAGCTTTATGGACGTGCCGGGGACTGGCAAAATCAGGAAAGGCAGATGTACAGTGGATCTCACGTGCATCGTAGCCTGGTCCATGCATTTCTATTTCTACAACGTTGGGTTACAAGTATTATTTTTCGTTTTCTTTGCGTTTTCATTTAGCAACAGCAGTTGGCCATCTCTGATGGTGTGTTCTCTTTTTCCATGCGTTCTCTCAACTTGATAATGATCCCCAGGGAAAGGATATGGGAAAGTTATCATGAGACATCTGGCAAAGGTGAGAATAGCAGTCGAAGGAACGGCAGGTATGCATGCAAACTTTATTCTCTTGGTGAACAACACACTGGGTGTCAATTTCCAGGACCACTGGGCCTCGAATAACCCCAAAAGGAATGCGAGTGCCGTGCATATGGTCAGTATTGTATGTTTGACTGTCAGACACAATACGAGAATTGGCATGCAGCGACCACTGGATAAGCTATTCCGACAGACAGCACAACTTCTGTGAACTGAACTACTGCCAACTGATTCCGTGCTTCACTTTCTTTCTCCCCTCTCTGGCGTCATTGTCTTGCCTTTGGCACCCAAATTTGATGTTTCAGCTTGCTTTAGAGAACCACTGCAGGAGCCTCACATGGCAGGGCGTCCTAGATCGGCCCAGTGCAAACTTCTACAGAAGCTTAGGCGCAAAGGACCGCTCTGACGTATCCGACTTCCAGCTGGATGTCGAAGGCATGATGGGTCTCATTGAAGGAGCAACGTGATGATTGGAGACAGTATTCACCCAGTGCACGGATGTGCCGCCAAGTTACTTTCCTGCTGTGGCCAGAACATGAATTCTGCTGCAGGTCTGAGCAATAACAGGATACCCGATCCAACGCCACGGAAAGGTGAAGAGGCCAAGTACGAGTACATTGCCTTGTTGAGTTGCAACACACAACTAGCTGCGAGTGCATGTACTTGTCAAGCATGAAGTATCGTGAGGAATTCTTGGCATTTCGACTGTTGCTATAGCAATCAGAGATACCCTGACAGCACAGTCAAACTTAACTATATTTATGTACTCCGGCTGGTTCACAGAGTTTATCTGATTTCTGAATCATTGTCTTCTTCTAGGACACAGGAGATCCGTGGACTACATCTTAGAGAAGCGGAATCACTACTAACATTTCTGTTCACCTAATCTGGCCTTTTGCTCTCATACCTAAACTGATACTGACTACCTAAAACGGTACTGCATCCAAGTAAACATTTTTTCATGCTACTTTTAGGGCCGTTTTTCGTTGAAAGGGCAATGACCGGTATCAGGAGTCCATAAACTGTTTATGCACTCTTGCCGGTATTCACGGGCGACATAGTGTTGTTTTTTTACAAGATACACAACTCACTGGCAGGCACATGGGGCTAGCATGGGGCTAGCATGGGACTAGCGTGGGGCTAGCATGGGGCTAGCATGGGGTGAGATGGTGCTAGAGGGGCTGCCGTGCTCAACCGACCAGAGGTCTCGGCATCTTCGAATGGCAGGCGCACCAAATTGGGAGGAAAGCATAAGCATGGGGAAAAAGTAAGCACGTGACAAGATGGGTGTAATAGGGGTAGAATTGGGATTCGGCTATTCAGGATTGGCAATAATTTGGCTTGAGAAGCACAGGCATAATCCAGGAAGAGGCGGTCGGTTGCCCAATCCAAGTCAGACTGCCGCAGGTGGTCGTAGACATTCTGGAGGGTCTGCAGCAACTTCTGAGAGGGGCAAGCACTGAGAATAGAGGCTGGGAGGCCAGGTCTCAATCCTGCAGTGGGGGAGGGACTGAAGGACATTGTTCCGAGGTGGGAGTCTTGGTCAGCTGGAACGGGTGGTGGCTCGTAATTGTGCACATGCTGGCGAGGGTAGGAGGGCTGTGACCATGGTGACGGTCAAGTAGTGGAGCTTTAAGGGGGAAAGCAGAGCTAGAGGCAAGAGTACATGAAACCCAGAGCTTGGGGCCTTTTCTGCGATGGGTGTCTGCAAGAGTACATATGTACTCTTGGTGTCTGTCACGGCGGAACTTATTTATGTACTCGGGGGGTATTTAGTATTCACCCGTAATTGCTTACCAACATGACCAGGTGAGTTGTGATAAGGAAATACAAGTCGCATGTAACAACACATACCAAAGTCGGACACAGTGCTAAACAGTACTCCACAATCACTCAACTCATAGCCCAAAGATCCCTTTCCTTACCAAATGTATACTCATTTCAAAGCCACTCCACACAAAGAAAACATCGCTGTTACGATTGTTACCCAAGAATAATCAGAAAGAAGAACAGTTTGCCGAGAGACTAAAATCTCCTTGAACAAACCACTCCTGCCGAAACACAATACGGTAAAATCAAGCCAATTGGAAAACCCTATAAGTCAAGAGAGAAAGAAAGAGTATGATGGAAAAAGGGAGCTAGAGGAAAGTCTTGTCAGTTGAATATGTTTTGTTTACTGGTTAATTTTCTGGTTGGCATGGATGAGTCCAACATAGGTGTTGAGCTGGCGTCCGCGCATGCGTCCCCACAGCATATGGTCGTTGAGCGAGAGGATGGTGGCGGCGTTGAGAGCAGCGGTGTCGGGCTGGATGGCAGTTGTGCAGCCGAGACCGGAGGGCATGCGCAGCGATGACCACACATCGGCCTCACCCCACTGGGATGACATGGGCGGGCAGTTGATCACTGGCAGGACAGTGTTGCCAGCCAGCACTGGGCCGAGTCCGTTGCTACGTCCAGCAACTGCAATGATGACTGTGGGCACGGCCTCAGCCTCGATCTCGTGCAAGACACCCAGGCTCATCGGCGTGGACTTGTGAGCAGAGCACACGTGGAAAGTCACCGGGATTTTCAGCTCACGCAGGACCTTGGCAATCTTGTCACAATGGTCCTTGTCGGATGCGGAGCCCATGAAGATGACAACACGTCCCCACGGCTTGCTGGACAGGTGGCTGGCCTTCTCGGCAACCCAGGCGTAGTTCTTGCGGATTTCTTGCATGGCCTCAACGGTGACCTCACGAAGGTCACGGTACACTTGCTTGTCCATCTGGAGGCGACGGTCACCGGATGGCCACAGGCGCCACGAGTCGTTGTCGATGACATCAGCAAGGAGAATCTCGCCGTTTACTGGGTTGACACCAAATTCAATCTTCATGTCAACAAGAGTGCAGCCGAGTGATGCCCAGGCACGCTCCAGAATCTCGAAGACGGTGACGGTCATGCGGCTCATCTCATCCAGATGGTGCTCCTTGATTACCACACCACCACAGTCCATGGCAGCAGCCACAATCTGCTGGTATGACCACTGGGGATCACCTGCTTCATCATCCTTGAAGAAGTACTCAAGGAGAGGGGGAGCAAAACGGTGTCCCTCCTTCACTCCCTGGTTGCGCTTCAGGAAGGATCCGGTTGCAACACGGCGAGTAACGAACTCAATGGGTACCATGGCGCACTTGACGGACACGAGAGAGGTATCGGTGTGTCGCTGGACGAAATGGGTCTTCACCCCACAGTCGTTGAGCAATTCAAATATGGCCACAGTGGTGCTGGTGGCCAGAGCTCCCTTGCCCTCCATATCATTGACACGCTGAGCATTGTTAGCTGTGATACGGTCCTTGGATTGCAGCAAGACGTACTCCCTGTCACCAGCTGGAAGAGACTCAGGGTTCTTCACAGTGAGAATCTCCTTCGTCTTTCCCTCAGCAATTTTCTCTCCTGGAAGAACTACAACACAAAAGAGCGAAAAGAAACAGGAAAAAAAAGAAAATACTCGACTTGCAGACAAACAGACTGAATTCTAAAGAAAACAAAATGAGATTTACCTTCCATGATGGTAATGGGTTGGATAGGAGAACAAGGGAGACTGCTGAAACTGCAATGAATGCACAATCAAAAACGCGTGCTCTGCAATGAAAGCACAACGTAACGTGTACGAGTGAACAAAAGGAAGAAGACGCCGAGATGAGCTCCATGCGGCCGCGCGGGCAAGGAGTGCGCATGCAAGCCAAGGAAATAGCGCACGAAACCGATGAATGGTCGTCTAGCGTCGTTTCCCGCGTTTTCTGGCAGTTTGGCCGTTTGGGGATCAATCAATCAGCGCACGTGGCTTTTCACGTGGAGAGAGCCACAGCTCAGGGAATCCCCCGAACATGCGCCATGCCATGGCAACAGGTGGCCTGCCGAAGAGCTACGTCATCGAAACGATTCTCTGCATTTCAATAATTTTTAACATTTTCTTCGCTATGATTATGCAGTTCCTCTAGTTTGATTTTGTAAAGATTTTGTGTGGAGAAAGCTGTGTTGCTTCGAAGAGCTGAGCTGCATCACTTTTGGGGTGATCGAGGGTGGCGTAAATGCTGTCGTAGTTCTGTATGACGAGAGGCGGCTGGAATGAGTGATCTACTGAAGAAACCAGCCGTGCACAGCACAGCTGGTGCTGTTCCTGTGCAAAATGACAAAGGTAGAATGATGGAGAAGACTCTCAAGGAGAGCTACTTCACGAGTGCATGTCTGGAAAGAGGCCTAAATATCGTTGGTCGATGGACTGCTGATTGTTGTTTTAGGTGAAGTGCGTATGGAGAAAGTGAAAGTCAGTCGTTACATAGCTGGAAAGAGGTTAGGAAATAGTGTACCTAATAACATTCTTTCTGACACATGTTTTGTGGCAGTGTGATGTTACTGTAGTGATGGTCTTATTCATTAATTCTCACGATGCAGGATGTCCAGTCACTAGGAAATCCTGGCTGTGTAACCTAGCCTGTCCCACCAGCATTTCTAAATCGTCACGCCCAGGATCTCTTAACTGTTTAAGTTGCGCATGTGCATGCATGCATGCGTGCTCTCTCTCTCTCTCTCTCTCTCTCTCTCTCTCTCTCTCTCTCTCTCTCTCTCTCTCACACACACACACACACACACACACGCTCACGCTCACGCACACACACACACACACACACACACACACACACACACACACACACACACACACTACTACTACTACTACTACTACTATAGCATGACTGCCCATTGGGCAATGTCACCCCCGGAGGGGGCCAGAGTTTGGAGGGCACCGTCATTGGCAGGACTTCTGGTGCCTCGTCAAATCTTGCCGTCGTCGGAAACGCTTCGGGCAATGCATGCAGATCAGCGGCAGTGCACACACACACACACACACACACACACACACCACACACACACACACCACACCACACACCACACACACACACACATGCAGGGCAAAGGGTGTCAGGCTACTGGTGTGGTGTATTCTACGATCCGGTGAAGGGAAGTGAGAAGGGATGATTGGGATTTTCACGGGGAAGCTGTGATTGAAAGTGATTTTTATTTTGTTATTTGAATAATAGAGATAAATTACAGACTTGCAGTCGTGGCCAAAGTAATCCGACTTTGTGCCGAGGGCAGTGCCAAGGCTCATGTGGGCCTCTGCAGCCCTCAGAACAGTTTTTTGGAACGTGCATGACGTAATTTAAATGGAAACGCGGCGCTACTTTTGACCCGTGGTTCTGATTTCTTTGGCCACAGCTGTAGTACAACTGGTACAACATTATAAAAAAGGCACATGCAGACACTGTGGTTGTGTGTGTGTGTGGGGGGGGGGTTGTTGCCTTTTCGCACATACATGACTGTGCATGCATCTTGTAACTTTTGCCACTTCCACCGTCCACGCACACCAACACCTATTGCTAATCTACACTCCTACCTTTCCTCTACTCACCTGTATCGACTCGCAGCACTTCCCTTGCACTACTGCACTACTGCGCCATCACTAAGATGTATTCCCGCCTGTACTTTGCCACCTATCACATCACAACCAACTGCCTATTAACTCATGCTAAGACCCACAGCCCTCCAGTCTGTATCCACTGGCAATGTTGTTCAGAACAACGACGTGTCTGGAGTATCTTTAAACTCATTAAATTTGTTACTTTCTACTGCTCTTGGTCGGAAAAGAATTTTATTTAACATCCGCACTGCATCGCCGTGTGGTATCAGGACAAGTTGCACATGGGATCATTTTATCATGTGCTGCGCAGCAGCCCCTGCCCTCCTGTCGGCACGTATGCGTTGAAGCCCGCTGGACCCTGGCTTCGCCGGCTGCACGATGTCTAGCACATTATGGGAATGGACTGCAGTAATTTTGCATTATCATTTTGACTGAACAGACAGTGCTCCACCATGATATTGTCACCGTGTTACATGTACTAGTATTGCCTTGATGTTTGTTTTGTCTGTGTTTGTCCCCAGGCCATTGTATGCCGCAGAGCAAAGTTCCTCGTCCGAAGAAGACGACGAGGAGCTTCAGCGAGCCGAGCCAATTGTTCGCGGAAAGGTGGCCGCAGCTCCGGTACGGTACTTGGCCAGTGGCCAAATTCACGATACCTTGCAAACCTGGTGTGCACCCCTTCCTGCCCTGTTGCTCTTTACCCGTGCGAGCTACTACAGTGCGTTTCTAAAGTATATACCTCTGGTTTCAAGAACCTCGTTTCACCAGCATCTATACCACATCAAATCTGTTATCACTTTGTGGATATAATTCCAGAGGTCAATACTTTTGAAACATACTCTAGTAGTCTGTGTCTCAATGTCACTTCCATTGGCGCAACTATTTGCTTCTAAAGTTAATGTGTGGTTCTGTCTATTCAGTTGTGAATTGCTCCTTCCACTTCCTCTCTTCCCCAGATTTAGCTCTCAGTTTAGCCTTTATCCTTGCTTCCTACTTCTGTATCAATTGCCAGAACAGTTTGAGTTATGGTGATACGTAACGTCCAGGACCAAGCAAATGCTATCTGATATTTACAATGCTGAACTAAGGCAGATACGTTTGATGCTAACCAGAAAGAGTGCTCAACCAAGATGAGGCGAGGGGCGTCTCAATCTCTGAACAGCTAGTTGTTTCAATCTTGTTATGTCTCATTAGCAAGTGTTGTATAATATTATTATTATTATTATTTATCAGCGAGTACTGTGTATTATCAGGACACTTTGCCTCTGCACCCTTGCGCGGCCCTGATCCCGGAAAAATGCGCTTTGTTCTGTTCCTCACTGCAGGTTGGTGATTCAGACAGTGAAGATGCGGGCCGCCTAGTAGCTGATGAGCTTGGGTGAGTGATCAAGCGCCTTCTCGGGCATAGCCAATGTTCTGTGTTCTGACACGCCACGAAACGGATTAGAACACGTTTGTGATCGCACATGTCAGGGATAGTTCATCCCGATTTTGGATTTCTGTGTCGGCACATGTTCACTGTGAATCGGCTATTACTCTTGTGTGTAGCAGTGTGCTGCTGTATGTGTGCTGGTGGTGGTGGTGCTGCTGTATGTATGCTGATGGTGGTGGTGGTGCTGCTGTGTGCTGATGGTGGTGCTGCTGCTGTGTGCTGATGCCATTCAGTGATGGTGGTGGTGCTGCTGCTGTGTGCTGATGGTGGTGGTGGTGCTGTTGTGTGCTGATGGTGGTGCTGCTGCTGTGTGGTTATGGTGGTGGTGGTGCTGCTGTGTGCTGATGGTGGTGGTGCTGCTGTGTGCTGATGGTGGTGGTAGTGCTGCTGCTGCTTGCTGGTATGAGAACCAGGTTTAAAGCTCTTTACATTCCCCTCCTGCTTTATGTCCATCACCTGTTCCACAGGGAGGAAGATGATGAAGATGAGGTGTCGGAAACCGTAAGTTTCACCCAATGTCCGTGTTCGGAATATCTGATGAAATGTGTTCAAAATATCTCCCACAGCCTATTTGTCTGTGGAGTGCAAACTATGAATGAAACTTAAGAGCCTTATATGGTAGTGCATATGCAATGAAGTACAGTGCGAGGTGAAGTCTCTGCCTTTACTCAGTTTACTGTCATGTACATGTAATGACATTAGGGAGGTTTAGTCCCACGTAATCTGTGTGTACTTTACATGTGTGTACCACGTGATACTCAGTGACCCACGTACAGACGTTTTCTGATTCACGACATACCGTGTATGGAGGCTCACCCACGTTCTGGCGGTGAAAATCAGAATGGAGCGCATTGTGCAAGCTGTGAGGGTGCTCAGCTGCAGAAGTTTCCGAAGCACGAAATCAAAATATTCGATGAGCTTCGAAGCTTCGTCTTTGACCAAGTTTGGGCCTTTCGCTTCATGCTTTTGTTTGTTCCGTGTGACTAAAGACAACATTGCGAACGTGGGTCTATTGCATGAACTTTACGTGTACAGTCAGACCTCGCTTATCCGGTCCTCGTTTATCCGGATCCCTCGCCATTCGGAAGAAAATAGTTGGTTACAAATGTACAGCATATGCCATGCTTACATACAGTATATGTGTTGGATTATCCGGTTCCCTCGCCTATCCGGATATTTTTGTGGAAAACGGATGTGTGCGGTTATGCGAGGTCTGACTGTATTACCCACGTTCCCGTATCCGTTACGTGGGACTAAACCTTCCTATTATGGTGGTTGCCCGAGAATAAATCGTTTGCCTCTGATCTGCCTCTGTGCAGTAAAGTGAAGTAGTGTGTGTGTGTGTGTGTGTGTGTGTGTGTGTGTGTGTGTGTGTGTGTGTGTGTGTGTGTGTGTGTGTGTGTGTGTGAGTGTATGTGAGGTGTGTGTATGGGGGGTACATGGCGCGCGTGTGTGTGTGTGTGTGTGTGTGTGTGTTTGTGTGTGTGTGTGTGTGTGTGTGTGTGTGTAGTTTTTTTTCTCAAGTCGAAACGGTTGCAGTCCACTTCAGTGCTAGATCTTGCTCAGAATCTGTTTGTTCCAATCTCATGACCTGTTGGTGCACAGGAGATGGCGCGCCGTGTGGAGCTGTTGCGCGCACGAGTTCAACAGCGCGCCAGCCAGGTAGGTGTGGACTTGGCCGGCCTGTGTTGTTGTATACTTTGTACATTATTAAATCGCTGTTGGCCGTACCGTGTTTTTGTTTATGGGAGCAGCTCTCAGTTTCTAGTAGCATGCACTTGTCATTCCAGTCACCCTGTTGAAGTGCACACACCGATAATGGTGGCCTATAGCAAGAGTACATAACTCCCCAGAGTGTGCAACGCCTGATCCAGCTCTGCATAGGGTCTTGGTCGAGCGTATTCGGATCTTTGCGTCATAATACCGTACACATCTGAGGGGAACCCTGGGAGTCGCGGGTACTCTCGGATCAAAAACAATGGTGCCCTGCCTCGAGACCGGCCTTGCGCTGGTGTGGAGTGTACGCATGACATCAGAAGATCCGATTCCGCTCGACCAAGACCCTATGCAGAGCTGGATCGGCGTTGCACACTCTGGGGGGTTATGTACTCTTGCTTATAGCTATGAGTGTCATTCTCTTTGGCTATCAACATACCAATACTTTCCATTCTGGCTGCATGGTGTTGTTCATTTTTTCATTTAGACTTTACTTGAAGGATTCTCCGAAAGTAAATGGGTACTTATCGGGGGAGTTTCCTGGGAGGGTGGATGAGACGAAAGGGAAGTGAAAAGGGGTTAGGGAAATACTTAGCAGAGACACTGCTCAAGGAAAACTACAATTTTTTTAACAGTTGTACATTTAAAGTTTTTAAACTGAACTGTCCACCTCTCCACGCTGCGCTCTTGGCCCACATTCACAACACGACACCATAGCGAGGAAGTTCGTTCATTTTCAAATGGCCGAGTTTGTCGCCACTTCTGAGTTGTACATTTCATAATTTTAGTGGAGAAAAGATTTTCTCCGGATAACCATTGGACTTACCTGACCTCTTCTGGTAGATTGCTAATCACCCACTGCTGTTCTGTGTTGCGCCTATTCCTGTGTGTATCCTCAGGCTGACGGAGATGAGGATAGTGATGAGGATGATGATATTCCCATTGAGCGTCACGACACGCGCACTGTTGTGTCCAGGTGAGTGTCTGTGCATGGTGGTTGGCTGATTGTCCACTGTGCTTGCGACCCAGCCTTGTGCCAAGCGTTCTGGACCCAGCACATCACAAGGTACACTATGTCCCCGCAGATGTCGTGTCCTGAGACTGTCAATGCGGCGCGGCCGTCGCAAATAGGCCACTCTGCGGAGTGACGTGTTGATTCAGATCTGCAGCCACAGCACTATGGTAGCATTGTTCCATGGAAACTGAGCGGGGGTGCCTTGCTGGGTTTGGCTGCGATGTTGCTGGGGGCGGGCAGAGAGTGTATTCTTGTGGCTGGATGATGATGTCGTTGATAGTATGGTGAGCAAGCTGCTCTGCTGTACCACTTGCGTAAGTCTTCCTTGTACCTAGGCTTCTTTAAGCCATGACTGACTGTTACTCTCTGAATGCTGACCGTGCAACTGACAAGTATTTGTTTTGTTGCTGCTGCTGCTGTCATTGTCGCTGTGCCCTATTGCACTCTCTTTGCTATGGTGTCATACAGTGGTGAAAGTGACGATGAGGACATGGATGACGAGGTATGTCTTCTTTGATTGCTTGCCCACCCGTACGCATAGTCTTCTTTACGTGCATCGGCATAGTTTGTGAGTCAGTCTGCACAGCGCTGGTGTTAACAGAGTAGAGTACTCTTCAAGTGCATGTGTTATGCAGTGTTCTGGATGCACATCATTATGGTGGACCAGTGCCTGGTCTCACATTTTCTCTTCATCAGCATCTTTCTTTTTTTTTCTCCCCTTTCTTGACTCCTGTTAGGCAATGGAGAAGCGGCGAGAACTCCTGCGGCAGCGCGCAAGGGAACGGAACGCTGAGGAGGTGGGCAGAGTTACATGTATTGTATTTTGCCAATGCCGAAGGCTGCTCAAAATGGCGGATGCTCCGTTGGTACTGCCCTGCAGTCATACATTGTGTGGGGATGGCCATCATTGGTGGGAGCTACTGATAGCATCGTGTCGAATGGGTGCTAGTGCTTACAACCCTAGCTTGTGTTTGAGCTCACTAAGGTGGCCATTGGCAATGGAGAACAAAGCAGCACTGCACTGGTATTGTCAGCCTTTTTTGTGTGGAATCAAAAATTCCGCTTCCTACAAATCTTGCGTTACTATGGAATCTTCCTCTGGACCAGCTTGCTTCTTCTCTAATGGTTGATTTTCATCGTGTTGGTTTGCATGTTCCTGACATTGGTGTCACTATGACTGATACTAGTGCTATTTCTGTGTATGTACTCATTGTTTGACATGTGATGTTGGTGTCTGCTATCTACAGGAAGTGTTACAAGTCGAGGAGGAGAAATTCGACGAAGATGAGGAGGAGGAAGAGGTAGGATTTTGTTGTTCACCTGAATGCGGTTTGCGTATTAATTAATGCGCTCGCCTACTCCTGTGTGTGCTCACCTACAGTTTGTTGTTGGAGTTCTCTTCTTGTCCGAGTGCATTGTAGAATGGGGTGTCCAATGATGGCCAAAGCACTCCACGTTGCTGTAACTTGTAAAGATGTTGAAGCGAGTGCTTTGGCCCTGGAGCACATGGCAGTGTGGGCATGGGTACTCAATGCTGCTATGAAGTTTTGTGATGATCCGTGTCTTTGTAGCAGCAGCAGCTGTGGTGTTTTCTGATTGTGATCATTGTACGCCATGTTTCTTTTCCTGTTGCTGGATACCTGTTTCCATTTATCTTGCAGTCCTCTGAATACGAAGAATACACCGACTCTGAAGACGAGACAGGACCCCGGTTAAAACCGGTGTTTGTGAGAAAGTAAGTGTGTGCATGCACATGTATGTGTGCAGGTATAGACTGCATGCATGGAGTAATGGAGTTACACCCCATTTTACACATCGGGTATTAGCCTATTAGGGCACATCACAGCTAGAGTGTACGTGCTGTACACACGTTTCCAGAAGCTGGTTATCCGGACGAACTGCGTGTTCACTGTTGTACCCCGGTGTAGTACTATTGGTAATGCTGTGTGTGTGTGTGCGTGTGTGCGTGTGTGTGTGTGCGCGCGCACGCGTTTGTGTGCGTGTGTGTGTGTGCGCGCGTGCGCGCACGCGTGTGTGTGTATATGTACACGTGTGTGCATGTGGTCGTGTGCGAATGTGTGCACGCACTACTACGCATGCGTGCGTTTGCAGGCGTGCTAGTGGGCAGTAATGGCTGAAGGAGTGCTGTATTATCTTGCATATTCCCAAGACATTATTCAGATGTTGTGTAATTGTATAGGTACCACGTATCATGTACTTTGTGTTTGCATGCACAGAACTGACCGACTTACTATTGCTGAAAAGGAGAACATGGAGAAAGAGCGCCAGGAGGCGGCAACAGAAGCAAAGAAGCTGTCAGATGCGAGAAAGCGTGACTCGAGGAAGGCAAGTAGCGTTTTTGCAGGAGTGTAGCTCGCACGCTGGACGCGTTGTGCACACACTGGATCGAAATCCCGCATTGCTTGGTCACTAGGGACATGTACTGTGTCGGATATACTTGAATGGTCCTGATTTGGCTGGGGGGGGGGGGGCATATTATAATTATGGCTTGCTGATGGGGAGGGGGCATAATTATCACACTCTATCAAGTATGATACGCTTTGGAGTGAAATGCTATGAGTTTTCTTCACTGTATACGATAGCCACGGGGTGCTATATCCTCTAGCTGTTTCCTATTGCCTCAAGCTGGTATTCAGTGAAGACTTTCCTATGTGAACATATGCTTATGCCCGTTCTCCTGCTGCTGCTGCTGCTGCTGCTGCTGCTGTCTTGTTGCTCTGATATAGTTGGTGGAGTTGACCCTGCAAGACGAGCTCAATGAGGAGCAGAAGGGTAAGTCTGGTTAATAGTTTTAATTTAAAACTACAGTACTTCGAAG